TCAATAAATGAATTAATTAATAATAGCAATCAAGAAACGTATTCTGTTTAAATATCACTCTGATTATGCTTTTTCAAGGAATCAGTTTACTCGGAAGAAAAAAAAGATTATATATGAAGAAATGGAAGTTTTATAAACTTACTAAATAAATTTACTAAATTCTTCAATAAATTAATTTCAATAAATTTCAATAATACGTACGATTGTCTACAGTATTGTTCGTGTCAGCTTATCCACGTTCTAAATACTTCATATATATTAATATAATTGAATTGACTTTTTTCAACATACAGTCTGTCTTTAGGTGAGTTATGCGTTATGAGTGTCAATATAGATAAGTTTTGATACAAAAATAGCATTTGATTATATACGGTGACGTTTGCAGCTGCCTAAGTGGAAGTAAAGATATACTTCGAAGTTTTTGCAGCTTAATAATACCTGATGGCAAACCGATCACCCGGTTTTATCCATTTAATAATATAGTTATTTCGAATACGAGTACCGTCTAGATCTTATGGCACGACATAGGACCTCTCGAGTATTTATTCTACACCATCAAATATCGATCAAGTGTAGTTTGTTGAATGAGTAAGAAAGGTGTGAAGGTGTTAATGTGGGTGTTGATGGTATGACCGTCCACACCCAAATCCACACTCAAACCCCACATCCAATGTTTTTTCTTATGGTAATTCTCAATATGGTGTTTATTTTTCTCTAAAATTGAAATTAGATCAAGATTCTATAGGGAAATGATCAACATCAATTATTAGAGTACTCTTAAAATAGTCTGTTTTTTTATAATGTTTCAATAAAAATGATCCTTAGAACAGAATAAATTTTTCTTAAGACAATGTATAGATTTGTAGAGCGCGAGACGTCACAGTTTTTCATCATAAAGACTTTTACTACTAATTTAGTATTTAAATACAATAGTATTCTACAAAATTATTGAAATTCGTCTATGTGATATGAGAATCGTATTGTTAATAAAAATGATAATATTCTTGTTTATGTGATTCTTTCAACCATAGATAAATGACCATGAATAATACTGAAATAATCGTAATCTTTAATTACAATCATTTAATTTTTAGTTCATCACTGTCATCCAAGTATCTTTCACTTCGATAAACTGCCGTGTTTCATTGACACTTGTTTTTTTACGAAAAAGTGATCTTCATAATAAAGGAAAATATTGATGACAGTTTTCTGGCTGAACAAACGGTGCGTCTTCATCACTAAGACTTTTCAATTTAATGCAATCGAAAAGTGCTGCGTCATTGGTAAAATTGATTTTTACTATTGCAAGTAATTCTTATTTGATGGATGGCGTGTGAATGTGATTTGTATTTTTGTGTGATTGAGAGTTCTCCTTTCACTCCTACACCCATCCAGCTAAACTTTATCAACGAAGTCTTGGTCGTACATTGAACAGTAAAGATGAATATGAAATTATTCACGATAAAAAATTGGGTACGTTTAATTCTTTTACTTTGTTTGTCTATCATTGAACTTGAATATATTTCGAAGAAATATTTCTTCGTTTCTGATACGTTAGGCGTTCTTCGATTCATCTGATTTATCTGGTTGTTCTTCATCATTTAAAAAATATAAATCTCTTTCAATATCGTTCAAAGTCGACAATAGTCGAATACCGTGTCATCAATTGTTATACCTATGATTCATCTTGTTTTGGTTCATTTGGTTTAAAGTTCTTCATATATTAGTCTGATTTTCTTAGTTTCTATCGATCTAATTAGTCTCACAAGGATAGAATCGAATTTCACGAATGACATAAATGAAGAAATAGTCACGAGAGAGATTATAGATGTTCTTGCATGATTTATCAGTATTGTGCGAGATATCAGGGCCAACTATGGAAAAACACTAATATTCTGTTTTTTTTAATTGAATCTAATAGATCTCATTACTCTTGACAACATATTGCATCGCTAGACAAACAATGTTAATCAAAGAGAAAAATGAAGGATTCAAGAGATAGAGTAATATCTAATAATAGTGAGACGGAATTGACTAGTTACTTTGATATCACTTGTCAGTTGTCTTTTGACAATATTTTTTCTTCCTTCTTGTTCTTTCGTTACTCGTGGGACGAGGACTGTTCCATTTGGTATATCTAGAAAAGATCGACAACAAGTCACTGCTGAGATTATTGCTTTTTCTGTTCTTCACATACATAAGTTAGTTGACAAAAGATAACGCGCTTTGTACAACATGGGAATTTTGAAAGGTAAAGATACGGCTTTAGAACATATTGAAAAGTCAAAATTGGCTTTTCTGGCAACCTTATGCGAAGTGGAGAAAGGACTATCGACAAATGCAATGCCGCCCAAAGATCATTTCAATCTCAAGTTTGATCGAAATTCGATTCGGAATTTGAAAGGACGTGTCTACGAAACTATGAAACAATATGCTTATGAACAACTAGGTTCGTTATTTCTTTGTTGTTCGAATATGATCTATTTGAAATTCTATTGACAGGTGAAAATATTCCGGCCTTATTAAATCCCAAGGAAACTGCTGGTGGCCTCATTAATCCAACCAAACCACCAAAACCAACTGTTGGTCGTCATTATGTCGCCTGTATTTATGATGATTTCAAAGCAATTGATTGTTTGATTGAAATCAGTCCGAAGGAAATCGACGATTTAGTTAAAACTGCCAATGCTCGACGCAAATCAGTCATCTAATCACTGCTTTTCTGCTTCATTCTCTGACTGCTTCATCCCTTTTGCTACTCTCTTTAATTGCTTTTGCTTTATATATTTATTAAATAAACAAAAATAATGAGATCAAGAGCAATGAATATTACAAAAAGGTAATTAGCATTCTATTGTACAGAACATTGACATGTTGTTGTATTAGTTGCCGTTGTCGTCACTCGTGTTGTTCTTGTTCTTGTTGATTAGAATAAGACATTTTTCATTTCAAAGTTGTGCAAATACGAGTACAATATGTACTCCTTCAGAATCTAGAATTCTACAATTCATGTGCTCATATACTTTGAATTCAAACTATACATATCGAATGTACTATAATTGAAAAAATAACATGCTCGTATACTTAGATGCATGTGAATAGCGCGAATACTTGGCACACACAGAATCCTCACTCACACTGCTGTATCGAAAGAGAGAGCATATCACTAAATGAGTGTGTTGCGTGATCTTGACACACTCGAGATTTTAGGACACATGGGATCTTGATATCATCAATTTAGGATACATGATTATGAAAGCACAACGATTGTGTGTAAGACAATTGTGTGTTAGATATTTGTATACAGATAATTATGTAAAAAATGAATGTGTGTTATGTGTAAATAAATGTTTTTGTGAAAAAGTGAAAGACAATGAACAAAAAAAGGTAGACAAAATAACAAAAAAAAATCAAGACGAACAAATCAACGAATAATAATAACATGAATGTATGAGCAATCGCTTTTAATTTTTATATATTATCATTTGTAGGATTTTCTAAAATCCGTACAACTCTAGATTCTGTGCATTGAGTTTTGATCCTTTGGGGATTTTGGTAGGAGACTTGTTACTAGTTGAGAAATTTCTTCACCTACGTACGATTGCTCTATTTGAAGATCATTCAACAAACGCCAAAATCCAGAATGGACTGAATCCATGATATTGTTAAGTTGTCAGTGCTACCTTTCGACGGCGTTGTTTGTATGATCGAACTGGTTCCTTAACAAATTGTGTAAATTCCAAAATATGACTGGAAACGTTGGGACTGTCCTTCTGGTACGATTTCAAAATAATTGTAAAGTGGATCAAGAGCTGGAATTCGTAGATCATCAATATCTTCAAATGCTGAATCGATATCATTTGTTTCCAAACAAAAAACAAATATAGAAAGCATGCATACTGCATGTCCATATTCTTCGTCGTCCCCATATTTATTTGTAAAACCTGCTTTTTGAACTTGTCGATAGATATTTTGTATTAGGTGGAAGAAACAACTATGAATGCTTGATTAAGGCCAACAGGAACTGATAGCTTTCATTATTTCTCATTCAAAATCGATAATAATTGAACTAGGATTGAACGGTGATCTTAATGACATAATAGCATCATAAATCCTCTTGTAAAGTTCTTCGTTTTTACAAAGCATAAAAATGTAAGCCAATGGAGTGATATTTCTTTGTGCTGGACCATGGATTGAGTACACTTAATAAAAAAAGTTCAGGAACGACCTTGAATGTGCTATCCAAATACGCGTCCGTACATGGTTGAAGAAGATCAAGTTGTTGGTTCGTCGCAAATATTAACAACCTATCCGAATCTTGGTTTCTTGAGTAGTATTGTAGAAATTGTTCTTTTTTCTTTGGGAGAGCAAAAGAGCCGGTTATATGTATTTGTGATCTTGACCGAGGATTTGATGAAAAATTTAAATTTGCAGCACATTGTTGACAGGCAGAAGCTAGCTTAACATTGCAGCAGATGTTGTGGTAATTGATGTGGCAACAATTGGATGTGTGACCATTGTTGTTTTAGACAGGCCACGTATTTCAGAACGACATCGACGAATTTCACTTGTATTCGGATTTGGAGCATGATTGTGATCGCCAACTCGATGACAAATCGTGTTATTAGTTGTATGCAATTCAACGTTACATTTCTGTTTGTTGCATTGTGTATATCGCCAGTATACTTTATTTTCATACGTACGTTCTTCAATGTAATCATAACCATTCTCAGTCAGAACTGGCTTACCTTTTCCAGTTTTAGAAAATAAAATTGACATAATGTGTTTGTACTTTCAATGTGATCTATACGATGACAAATTCTGAATAACTATAAATGAGCAAACATCTTCTTATTCTTACTCATTTAAATACTTTCAAAGAAAATTGGCCTTGTTCATGCTCTTTTTCATTAGAATTAATCAGTGCAAATTAAATTAATCGATGTACACATGATTGTCTGTTCTCATAATTATCTTACACACAATAGTCAGAGACCCCATTCCTACATCCCGCACACTCACTCCACATCCACAATACCGTACCGATTCGAGACGGTAAGGTATTGGTACCGCATACAGTCAGTCCTTAATCTAGCTGAAATAGTCAAACAAGTTCTCTCATGATTGACGCCTTTTTTGATCTGAAAATAGGAAAGAGAGTTTATCAAGTGTAAAAAAAGAAAGAAAATGTTTGCATTTCATTTTATTTGAGTTAAATATAATAGAATAAAATTTCTTGATTTTCGTATTGAATCAAATGAATGTCTCGATTAGAACAAAAGAATGAAAATTTTACTTTTTGGGTTTAATACCCGTACTGATTTCGAATGTCTTTGATGTGGTGACAGATGAATTGGGCATGCCAGCGGTAACATCATTGCAATTGTGTGAGAAGACATTGTAGCCTTTGCCTGTTCCCATCATTCCACCTACTGATGAATTTGGGTTATACGATTCGCCAACAGATTTCCAGTTGGAAGACATATTTGCAGCATCTGTAATAACTGTAGGATTGCTTCCTGATGCTGCAAAGCCACTTCCATGATGAATTAAATATTGTCCTCCACTTTCTGTTGAGATTCTTGTACCACTGTGACTACCAGGTAAAGCACTTCCACTAGCTGAGCTTGATAAATCACGTGATACTGGTTGTGCAGAAATCACTTTTTCATTAAACAAGTGATTCATTCTCAAATTTTCAATAGATATCTGAAAGAAACTGATAGATCTTTGTTATGATGTTGCGTATTGATAGAGTTTTATGTTAGAAATTTCTTGTGTAATTCGCAGATACCTAAGTGTCGCAGTGAATGTTGTGTGTGATCTTTCTCACTTTGTCCTTTCGACGTTACTTCCTCTCTATATGCTTACTAATTGCTCCTGAAGAAATATGAATCATTGGTTTTTTGAAAGAGCAACAACAGTATGACTAATAAGTTAAATAATCGTCATACGTAAATATTTGAAAAAGCATATTCATTTCTGACAATTTTTTTCTTATCCACACATTCAACATTGGCACCGACCATTATCAATGAGTCTAGAATGTCAACAAATCATTTTCAGTATTGCAAAAAAAGTTGACATTGCAGTCCAAAAACCGTGATAAATATTCAGAGACAACATTCGTTTCAAGGACATCAGATCATAGAATACCAGCCAGTAGATGTGTTATGAGACGATATCTATCGTCCTAACAGCCTCTACATTGTTTTCGTTTCTGTTTCTGCTTTGTCATTCATCATCAGTATATGTACATATCGATGAGATAGTTAGTTAGTTTTTTTGGTTATCGTTCGAAAATCAAGTCGTCTCTACTACAAGCGGAGTGGCTGTACCATTCGTTTGTTTTTGATTGTATTTGCTCCTTATTAAAATAACCTTGCATATCATGATCCTAACAAGATCCATCACCAATAATTGATATGAAATGTGTGCTATCATCCATCGATGATATATCATATGTTAACCCTTTCGGTGCGGGACCCGGATATGCATCGACTGAGTTTTGGACTATATTACTGTCCTTATGATTTCTTTGAGACTCGACCTAAAAGACAGCTCTCTCGTGTTCTTGTCTCGCCAATATCATTGGGTCATCTCCTACATTACTATATGTATATACATGTGGGTGTGAGTGTAGATGAATACCCACGCCCATACATGATTACTGGGGGAAGAAGGTTCTGAAAAAATCATGTTTGATCACAGAGAGGAGATCAAATGGACTGATCGCGAATATTAGAATGCTTAGTAGATGTGTGAGTACGAGAACAGCTACCATGATCTAAATTCCAACCCGACTAAAGAAATCATCGAGTGTCTTTGTATCATAGATGACCAAATTGTTCTCTTACAAGTAAAGTAAAGCAACAAATTAGTTGTAATGTCAACTTTTGTTAATAATCTGAGCAGGGTGTGGGTGTCTTCACAGTATTCACACTCACACCAGATTATCAATTAATTTTCAAGTTTCAATAATATGTCACAGAAAATATTGGTTTACTTTACTATTTCAATAAATCAAAAGTAGTGATATTGTTTACTTGTATATTTTTTCATCGTTTCAGTATGTCCATAAAAACAACGAAGCTCATTTTTTTCAAATATGGTTTTATAAATTTAACTTATGCATTAGATGAAATCTTTCATCGAATGGCTTTTTTGTGCAAAAGAAAATCTTCTATTATTTATGCATAAGTTGTGATTATTGGCGATACAATTCTATTTTATATGATTCCATTTCTCGTCTCATGTTCATTATTTTTTTTTTATTTGAACTATTGTACGATAAGCTAGTTGAGTTTTTCGATTTACTCTATCAGTTTTGTAGAATCATTTCTAACCAATTGAAATTCTATGTCATTTATATATATTTTCCAATGTTAACGTATCAATCAAACAATTATTACAACATTAGAAATTATATAAAAGTCAGATCAAAATTATGATTAACAAAACATTGAATTTATTTTCTAAATCATTATCATTCATTAATTAAAGTATATATACAAAAAACTAAGCATTGAGATGTAAATAAAAGCGAAATGAAAATCTGACAAAAACACTGAAAAACATCGAAAAAATGTAATTTGTGACATGCAAACTATAAATACAAAAAACGATCTATTTCAAAACTATTTGTATGAGATCATTTGAAAATAAACAAACATATCAGTTAAAGAGGAATTTTTTCATAGAAAGGGACTATCAATATGAACAGGTTGAAGACATGTCATTGATTGTAATAAATTATTTGAATCTTTATTATATCTGAGATAAAGTTGAAAAAGAAGTCGATATAAAGTTCTTTGATTTCCTGTAAGAAGATCATTAATTCGACAATATTGTTCAATATCAATTCCAGCTAAAACAAAAAAGAATTCATTAAAACTATTGTTTTATCTAACGAGAGAAGTCCTCCAACTGATGCATTGTATTTGGATCGAGACTATGTGAATTATGTAGCATAGGTGTTCATCGCGGCTAGAAATATATCGCTGCCACGCTACAGTCCTAGAACATACAAGACTACGGCGCCGCTGCCGCGACGGCTTTCGAAAACCTCTTCTGTCACTGTGATAAACTAGCGCAGTTGGATCGAATCTATCACATTAACCATGAATCTAATTGTTGGACTTGTGGACACTCAAATTCAGTGCAAATCCATTCAATTTTATAATCTGTCCAAAAACCAGGCGCTGGCATTGTCGCCATAGCATTTTTGAAACATTTCTCGCGTCGGTACCGCCGTCATGAAAGTCTGTGTTATGTAGGTCCAAATGAACTATGAATACTTTGAAAAGAGTTCGAACCTTTAGTTTATTGCTGTGGAGATATCGCATTTTTACGGTATCGTCTAAATAAATGCTGTGGCTTCTCTTAGGAATATCAGAAAAACTTATTGTCGAATGTCAACTTGAAACTTTGCATAGAGACAGATCGTGACAAGCATAGACTTTAGTGAACGTTTCATATCTTGTCTCTGTTCCTATCCTAAGATACAGCTATGTTAATAGTGTGTCTCATACATCACTTATGTAAACCGACATATTTGATGTTTGTATTCTAGGATAGGAGCAAATTAAAAGACCTAGGAATTTCATAACAAACTACTCTCGTTAGCGCCTGTCTCACTGCAAAACTTCAAGTCGAAATCTGAAAATAGGTTTTTCTGTACCATGACACTCATTTAAAAAATACCACAAAAATGCAGAATCTCTGCAACAATAAGCTAAGGGTGCAAACGCTTTTCAGGCTATTCATAGCTCATGTAAGTCTACATAATACACATAGTCTTGATTTATCAATTGGAGTACTTCCTTCGTAAGTAATTCTCTTTATTTTACCTTGATTCATAAGTTGAAAAGCTAATTGAATATTAGCATATGATTGTTCACGTGATAATGGTTTTTTATGATGATATTTATTAAGTATAATAAAATAATTTTCAAGATGAGACATTAAATAAAGTAAATTTAACCCATCTTGAAAATATTGTATATCGATTTGTTTTATATGTATATTATAATGATTTAATTGATTATTTATAAAATTTAATAATATTTTTTCAACATTACCTAATTTATCTGGTGCTAAATCGAATAAAGTATCGATAAGATCTCCTTGTTTTTTAGATGCATCCTAAATAATAACACAATTAAATATAAAGTATAGACAAAGTGTGAAAATAATTCTACAACAACTCAACAGATTTTATTGAGCTTTTCACCATTTCATGGGATATACCAGAAAATTTTTGAAACTTACATTGTAGAACATCAATTATGTTTTTGGCGATGTACAATAATTACTTAAGAAAAATCAACAAAGTTCGATTGTTTATTGAAAATTTACTGGCATCAAGCGTTCAAGATGTTACAAAAGTTTGTTTAATATTACAAACAAAAGAATATTGAAGTATAATAGAAATCTTCAATATTCCAATAATATGTAACATAGACTAGGTTCTGGATAATAATTCTCGTTTACTTTTTTTGTGCAGAGTCTTACGGCACTTTGTAACAGAATACAAAAGAAAATTTTATTTGGCATGCATCTTTTTTCAGAACCTAGCTTCGAAGCAGTATTTTATCCAGTGTGAATATCAATCGGGTGACACACCTCCGAAGACCGTGTTGACCTTTCCAGAATTTCATATTGCTTCTCCAAAAGAGAAAACCTTGATGAAGCACTGCTTAGAGATGTACACGATTACTGTACCCTGCAGAGTATGGTAGGGAAAAGTGGCATGTTACAAAGTAGACTAGGGTAAGAATCAGAAAATTTTTCTCAGTCAGGGTATGAGATATGAAAAAAAACTTCTCAGCACATCTCTAACATTTGTTTTGTGAGATTTTCGAAGCTTCAAAAAGTCAAATATATTTTTCGGAAGTTGAAGGTTAATCTTTTACCAACGCATCGATTAGTCACAATTGTAGTGTGAGCGAACTTGTTCATGTAATGAAGTTCATCCAATGTTCGATGTAAAACACACAAGAAGAAATCAATTTTTGAGTAAGAGATTTTTTTTTTAGAAATAATTCATATGTAAATTTTTGATGTTATTTAAGTCAATACTTTCAATAATTAGAAATAAATTTTCCATGATGGAATTTTATTTTATTTTTATACTTACTGATGTTAATCCTCTTTCATGATCATCAATAAAACATTCATTAACAATTCTTGTTTGTAATAAACCATTTGTTTTTTTAACAACAATTACTTTTAAAAGTAAATTTTTTGGTAAATCATAACGTGATTTTATATTAAAAAATTTGATTACAGTTAAAAGTAGATGTAAAATAGCAATAAAATCTCGATTATAAATTTGTTCTAATGTCCATTTAATTGGTTGATTTTGTTGTTTAAAACATGTTTCAAGATAATTAAGAACACATTCAAGTGTTTTCTTTTTTGATTCTTCTGATAATGGTATATCATGATGAAGTAATCGAATATTTGGTTGATAATATTCGATAAGTTTTCCAAGTATATAACCATCATAAAGATCATCTTCAAATGATCGAATTATAATCGATTCTTTACTTAAACTTGTATTAAGCCAATTAAATAAAACATTTATTGTTTGTTTAAAATTAGGATTATTATATGAACTTGGTTCAAGCATTGAACGTTCATCACCTTCATCTAATAAATATGATTCAGGATCAATATTAAAAAGTGGATAAATTCCTCCTTCATGTATCTGTTGTTGGTG